CCTTTCTTCCTTCCTTCCTTCCTTCCTTCCTTCCTTCCTTCCTTCCTTTCTTCCTTCCTCTCTCTCCTCCCTCCCTTCCTTCCTTTCTTCCTTCTTTCCCTCTTCCTTCTTTCTTCTTTCTTTCATCGCCTTTCTCCCCTCTTTCCCGGCCCTATCTCAGTTCTTTCAGTTCCTTCTTTCTTTTTTTGCTTCCTCTTCCTCTTGAGGACTTGACCTCTTCCCTCCCACTTCTAACCAGGGTTGTGAAAACTCCACCTTTTCTTCCAACTGGTGCAGCCCCGGGGACACTGTCTCCCTCAGCCATAAGGGCCACTGGAAAGGAGACTCGACGTGTGACTGAGACCTCATCTCCCTGAACTGGGCCTCCATGCACAGCCACTCATTAGATCATTCATTTTTCCCTGAAGACATTGGGAAGGAGAGAAGTAGAAGGCAAATGTATCACGTGTTCTGATGCTTAGCTGCATACTAGGGTCATTAAATTACCTGCCACTGATGACCCTGGTGCAGAGAAAAAGTGGCCATTTGTTTTTGTTTCTAGTCACCCTGCTTGCCTCAGCAGACAGCATGCTCCTCTCCCCCATGCACACCCTGGGTGGTTGGTGATCAAATTTAAATATTCTACCTGCATTAAACATAGTCAAATCTTGTCAATTAAACAGCATCTTCAGCAAATATGTAGGCTGTTCTTTGGGTAACAATGCTTAATATTGAAGATGCCTCCCCCTCCCCTGCTGCTCTCTAAGGTGGCATGGAGTAGGGGCGGGGGTCCTGAGGGGTTCTCCAGGTTCTGTGAAGGAACACGCCATCCCTGCCTCCTCTAGTCCTGGAGTGCTGACACCGGTTCTTTCATTGTTCCCAGATGAAGCCTGAAGCTGCTCTAATTCAAGATCTGGTCCGTATTGGGCTCCTGCCTCCCCACTCAGTTTCCACAGACAGGCAAGAGTCCTCTGAGGAATGGCTGTGAACCCCAGGTCCTTGGCACAGGAGGCCCTGGCCACAGAGAACCACTCAGGGCAGATTTCCTATTATGTTCTTGGCTAATTCTGGGTCCTGTTTGTGTCACTCGAATATCAAGGTCACCCCAGGAAAGCTAAAAAGCAGCCTCTCCATCTGTCTAACATGACTGTACCTTGCTACACTTGCCAGTTAGCCTGAGTCCTAATCAGGACAGAAATGTCCTGATTCTCATTTAGGACTTCAGACTAAATGGGAATCAGGACAGAAATGCTCCTTCCCATAGGCTCCCCTGAATTGATCTAGCACACACACGGTAATACTGGTTCACAGGTAGACTAGGCTTGACGTGGACTTCGCATGATTTAATTCTCATGACACACCTAGGAGGAAGATGTACAATTATCATTCACATTTAATAGGTGAAGAAACTGAGGCACAAAGAGGTTCAATGCCTTCCCCAGGATTACACAGCTCTATGGCAGAGGCTGGAGTGGGGCCACAGCCTGGCAGCTCTTCCCTCTCTGCTGAATCCCAGGGCCTCCTCCCTTTATTCCTCTCTGTTTCTCTTCCCTGTCCCCTGGGCTGAAAAAGTCGAGTTTTCTTTTATTTCCACCATGCCTGCTCTTCTACCGTGAAGCTGGGATATTTACCATATAAAGACTGGATTGGGTTCAGTTCCTTTTGAACCTTTTCTTCTGCATATCCAGAGACTGCACTGATGCCAGCTGCCAGGCAATGTTTCACTTCTTCCACTGTCCACTTCAGAAGAATTCTGGGGACTGCCAAGACTGGCTGGTGGCAGTCATCCAGCTCCCATATGGAGATCTATCCAGAATGTGTCCTCGAGAGCCTCGCTCAGATATCAACTCCACCTCAGCAGTTAATCATATCCATGTGGACACACATGGCAAGACTGCTTCCCCTGGCAGCAGCAAGGAATTTGACCAGGGCTGGCCTCTCACCCTCTCCCGCCCGGGCACCCTGAGTATCAGCAGCTGCCCAACATGCGGCTGCTGGCCATGGTGATTCCAGAAGGAACCATGTCTTCATCTTGTACCCTAAGTAACCTCAGACAAACAGAATCAGAGTTGACAGTGTTCCCCATCAAGACCATAAGTCCTTCAAATGCCTTATATGTGAGCCATGTGCACCTGCAGAACCCAGGGTTTTACTCAGATTTCTGGATCCCCTATCGAAATATTTAAATACAGTTTAAGCCTTATGAGGTATGATTCTATTGCTCAATTAGCAGTAGCTTCAAGTGCAAAGACTAGCTTTGTAAGGCATTACAAATATATAAAATGTGAATGGAATCTACAGCAGGCAGGTCTTTCCATAAAGGACCATGTTCTAAACAACTTCATAGATTTATTTCTTTCAGTCATTTCACAAATGTTTTTAAGTAGAATCTCTTTTTCCTCTTCACTTCCAGATAATACTGTTTGCTATTCCTTTCAAATCCTATAGCAATAGTTCCCAACCTGGTATACTAGGATTCTTATGTGTCCTGAAGCGCACTAAGGGAGGTTTTCAACATATTTTCAGTATTTCTTACAGAAAATAGACTTTTATGATAAGGTTGTACTTACCAGTTAAAAACATTTCTTTGCCTTCAAGTGAAATGACAGATGACCCAAGTGGCATCCATGCAGATCTGATTACCACTCTTTAACTGAAATATATGGAAGTGTAAATAATTCATAACATGATAAAAGGACTTCAGGAGATGGGCATTTCTGCTATGTGGGGTTCACATGGGGAAAGGATGCCCACTTATGAGAGGACAGGGTCCTGCTGCTGCTGCATTGTCACCACAGTCGTGTCTACTCTCCCTTTGACAGTTCACAGTATCATTGTCACTGTGAAAATTGTCTTTTGTACTTATTACACAAACTTCTGATTAGAGAGGATGTCAAGGCATAGTGGCTGAGAAGCCCATGTTTTTGTTCAAGGGTGCCCCAGGGTTCAATGGCTACCGAGGCCCTAGATCATTCTGGGTTTCACAAACTTGATAATAAAAATTGTCATTCCAGGCACAGTGGCTCATGCCTGTAATCCCAGCATTTTGAGAGGCTGAGGCAGGAGGATGACTTGAGATCAGGGGTTCAAAACCAGCCTTGCCAACATGGTGAAAGTCCGTCTCTACTGAAAATACAAAAGTTAGCTGGAGATTGATGCCTGTAATTCCAGCTACTTGGGAGGCTGAGACACGAGAATTGCTTGAATCCCGGGGGGTGGAGGTTGCAGTGAGTCAACACTGTGACACTGCACTCTGGCCTGGGCAACAGAGCGAGATTCTGTCTCAAAAAAAAAAAAAAAAGAAAGAAAAAGAAAAAGAAAGAAAATTGTCATCTTTATCACAAACTGGAGCTATTGCAATTGGTAATCCATGCTCAGTGGATTCGTTGAGTCCTTTCTTCTAGAACACCCTCATTGTAAAACAAACAAACAAACAAAACTGGGAACCCTTATGGTGGAGCTGTGGCCCCAGGGGGCCAGCTGGCATGTCATCAAGAGGAAAAATGCCCCTACACCTGCAGTGACAGCGCCCTCTGCTGCTCCCATCTCTCTGCAGAGATGGGATGGGATAATGCGGGCAACAACCACTTAGTGTCAAGTTCTTCACTCATTAGAACCCCAGTTCACTGGAGAACTTCAACAAACATTTTGAGTGCAGCTTTTCTGCTGTAAATGTAGGCACTACAGAAAAGAAGGTCATTATGAATGCCTTCAAAAAGCTCACAGTCTGATGGAAATCAGACCTGTACCACCTAGCTACTGGAGGATGCGTGAAATCCTATCTGTGCTTGGAAGGAGGTGTTATCAAGCAGATCAGGGAAAGTACAACATTCTGGGAGGGGAGGGTGGTGGCAGAAACCGTCACAGAAGAGGTAGCATTTGAATTGGCTCATTGAAGGGTAACAATTTCATGTGGGCAGAAGCAGTTGAGGATTGTGGCTTTACTTTGAAAGCACTTAAGAGGTGGAGGAGAGGCTGGGCTTGGTGGCTCATGCCTGTAATTCTAGCACCTTGGGAGGCTGAGGTGGGCAGATCACCTGAGGTCAAGAGTTTGAGACCAGCTTGTCCAACATGGTGAAACCCTGTCTCTACTGAAAAAGAAAAAAAAAAAAATCAAAAATTAGTATGGCATAGTGGCACATGCCTGTAGTCCCAGCTACTTGGGAGGCTGAGGCAGGATAATTCTTGGACCCGGAAGGCAGAGGCTGAAGTGAGCCTAGATCACGCTACTGCAATCCCGGCTGGGCGACAGAGCAAGACTCTCAAAAAAAAAAAAAAAAAACAGAGGTGGAGGAGATAAACTTCCCAAATGTCCTTTTGATCAATCATTCCAAATTGCTGGCTTTTTTCCCTAAGCTTGGAGGTTTCTTAAACATTCATTCCACTGGTTTCACCTGTCTCACATCATCTCCTTGTTTAATGCAGTGGTTCTCAGGAAAGTTTGGCCCACCAGCCAGCAACATCAGAATTTTTTTCTTTTTTTTTTCTTTTTTTTTTTTTTTTGAGACGGAGTCTCACACTGTAGCCTAGGCTGGAGTGCAGTGGCACCATCTCGGCTCACTGCAACCTCCGCCTCCCAGGTTCAAGCGATTCTCCTGCCTCAGCCTCCCGAGTAGCTGGGATCACAGGCGCCCGCCACCATGCCCGGCTAATTTTTTGTATTTTTAGTAGAGACGGGGTTTCACCATGTTAGCCAGGATGGTCGCGATCTCCTTACCTCGTGATCCGCCCGCCTCGGCCTCCCAAAGTGCTGGAATTACAGGCGTGAGCCACTGCGCCCAGCCCAACATCAGAATCTTCTAGGAACTGGGTAGAAACGCAAATTCTTGGGCCGCACCCTAACTGCTGAATCTGAAGCTCTTGGAATTTCATCTGATACAAATTCAAGGTTGACAGCCACAGTTCTAACATGCAGGATCTTGGGAGCTGATACAGAGGCTGAGAACGATCTAGGTTGCTTTCCATGTTTCATTATGGCGAGACCCGGCTGAGGTTCCTGCCTTGACCTTCTCATCCACGCTTCGGACGTGTGGAGCAGCCACCAGGGCGGGCTGGTGGCGTTGTCCTCTTGGGCAGTTTCTTGGGCAAGGTCGTGCCTCCTTGAGGGCAGAGGCGCTGGTCACAGGGCCCTGACTCAGACTCATACTTTCCCCTCAAAGCGAATAGAGCCTTAGCAAAGCCGTCGCAGCTGGCTTTGGGGTAATGCTGGCCTCCTTAGTTACGCTGAGCGATGCAGCCCTCCTGGGGTCATTCGGAACGCCCGGGAGAGTGGCCACTCCCGCCCCTGAGGGGGAAGGGTGGCCGGTTTCCAAGACCGGCTTGGTCAGGTGACAGCGGCGCGGCATACTCAGCAGCAGAAACGGAAGAACAGCACTCGCGAACAGCGCTCGCGAGGCCGCGGGAGCCTGCAGAGAGGACAGCCGGCCTGCGCGGGGACATGCGGCCCCGGAAGCTCCGCGGGCTCGCGCTCCCGCTGCTGCTGTTGCTGCTGCTGCAGCCGCCGCCGAGCTCTGCCCACAGCTCCACTCACTTCGACCCCACCTGGGAGTCCCTGGACGCCCGCCAGCTGCCCGCGTGGTTTGACCAGGCCAAGTTCGGCATCTTCATCCACTGGGGCGTGTTTTCCGTACCCAGCTTCGGTAGCGAGTGGTTCTGGTGAGTGCGCTCCTTTCTGACTCCTCTGCCACGCTTTTGTCCCCACCCGCAGCCTCCAGCCACCACCCAGCGGGCCAGGTTCGCCGCCTGGTGCTGCCTGCACCCTCGTCGGTTTCACCTCCCACTGCTTTACCTGCGTTTCGCACTTCCGGGTATCGAATATGTGGTTTCTTTCCTAAGTTGTTCTGCTGATGAACAGAGAATTTTTCTTCCGTGTGACTGTAAGAGTTTTCAGACACACTTGACTCCTCAACTTCTTCATAGTTGCGCATTTTAAGCTGTAGTGATGACACTACAACATCGAGCTACCACAGACATCCATCAGTTTGTGCAGGGGCATCCCACGAGCGGTGACTCAGGCACAATGGCCCGAGGTTGCTCTGCTGCTCCCTGCCAATTTGCAGTCGTTCTGCCATGAAGTTATGGTTAAAGCATAGTCATGAGTATGTGAAACGAGTTCATTGAACACCATTGTCTACTTAATGTTAACATGTTAACCATGTGTGGCTCTAGGAACTTTTTAAAGAGGTTCTAGAATGGTACTCTTAACACAACCCAATTATCGTTTGCCGTGTGAAAGGTGCTACACAAAAATCTGTGCTTTAGATTTTACTTTGAGATCTAAGTGAAAATGTGCATGTAATTTCTTAAACTGTTGCACATGTTTTTTCTAACTAAATGCAACAAGTATTAAGTTCTTCAAAATAGAAATATTTTGTGTGCATATATAGATACATACGCATAATATACTCCTTGTTGTTGTTTTCTGAGATGTAGTCTCACTCTGTCGCCCAGGCTGGACTGCAGTGGTACCATCTCGGCTCACTGCAACCTTTGCTGCCCGGGTTCAAACCATTCTGGTGCCTCAGCCTCCCGAGTAGCTGGGACTACAGGCGCACACCACCATGCCTGGCTAATTTTTTGCATTTTTTAGTAGAGACGGGGTTTCAACATGTTGGCCAGGCTGGTCTCAAACTCCTGACCTCAGGTGATCCGCGGTGGCTCATGCCTGTAATTCCAGGACTTTGGGACACATAATATATTCTTAAGTAAAATAAGGGAATCATTAAACAGTCAGTATTTATTTGAATCAACTATATACTACATAAATAGTATACATCCAAATTAACATACTATATTTAGTAGACACAATACAGAGTATGAACTACAAATTATATTAACATTACATAGTATACACTGTACCATGCTCGACTGTAGGGGTAGAAAAATTACACCTCCATTCTGTTACGATCTCTGCTGGGTCCAAGAATTTAATTGACATTGTAGGATTAAATTGTGTGGGGAGGCTTAAAAAATGAATTTTAGCAAGGTCTTTACAGTATTCAACTTCTTGTCTTTGAAGCTTAGGATGTTGCCTTTCCTTCCAGTATAGAGTGCCTCTCATACTGGAATTTCATCTTCTGTCCTAAGAAACAGCACAGAGGTCAAAGTGCTCTTCATGCACCTGCTATTTTTTGAGTTTCTTTACCTTTAATGATATGCCAGAATAGCATATTTTAACCCTTTCATTACAAAGAGATAGACTACCTGGAACCAGTAACCTTTCTTATTGTTAGGTCAGTTTATGTAAAAAATAAAAATGGGTAAGCTATGGAGAATTATTCATATACTTTAAATAATTCAACTTATAAAACAGAGACTCTTTCTTCTTATGCCAAAACATAGCTACTTCAGAAAGATGTTACAAATCTTTATTTGCATGTTTTGGGCTATAATGAATCTTGAGTTTATTTTGGAAATGTTTTAAATTAGTGTGGTACATAATTAACACATTTTCTTCCCCCTAAATTGTATCTTATATTATCATTTTGTTCAACCATGAAGATTAGGTGAAGATATATTGGTGCCAGTAGAGGATTTGATATTTGTTAACTGAGACCAGTACTATGCCAAAATAAAACAGCTAGTTTTGAGTCATTTTATTCTTTGCTATGAGTAACTTCATTTTCTACAAACAAACCCATGATTGTTTTGACCTAGAACAATAAAGATACTTCTCATACTAAACAAAATAGAGAACACATTCCTGATGATCTGGAAATGCATTAACCCTGTGAAAGATTCTTTAATCATCTGTAGTTTCCCTTTGTACCCTCTGCTCCTCACTCTCAATTTGACTTCTGGGGAATCAACAGTACAGACGAGTATGTGTGACTGTTCTAAATGTCTATTAAAAACCAAATATAAATGATGGACTCTTTACCATAAGTGCCTCTTTTCATCTCTCAGCATGAAATTCGAGTCCTGACTGTAGGGGAGAGTGCAGGTTCAAATTAGATGATGCTAGGAGAAATTCCTTATTCTTGTTCAACTTTCTGAATGTCACAGTTTCTCTTTTGCAGTTCAGTTTAAAAGGTAATGTCCGTAGTCCCAGCTACTCAGGAGGGTGAGGTGGGAGGATTGCTTGAGCCCAGGATTTCAAGGCTGTGGTGAGGTATGATCATGCCACTGCACTCCAACCTGGGTGATAGAGCAACGCCTGTCTCAACCAATCAATTAATCAATAATAAATAAATAAATAATAAAAACGCTTCAAAGATTTTAAACCCAAGTAAAAGGTGTAATGATAGGGGCTTATTATCTCACATAACAGGAAATTTAGAGGTAGTTGGTTCACTGATGAAGTCAAAGACATAGGCTCTTTCTGTCATCCTCAGCCTGGGGACTTGTTCCTTCATGGTCACAGGATGGCAGCCAGGCACCATAACTTCACACAACCTTGGCCAAAGGCAGGAAGGCCAGTGTCTCTTTTCATTAGGAGGGAAACCATTTCCACAGTCCCCGAAGTGTGGCTTTCCCTCAAGTTCCCTTGGCCAGCGTGGATCTCACATCCCTGTCGTAGCTGTAGTG